TTCACATTTATTTCATCATTACGCCTCTAGCGATTACTTTTTCTTTCCATATAGAGTTTTCTGGAAGTTTTGAATTGTATGGTTTACATCATAAGGTGCGTAACTGTAAACAGCTACTGAAAACCAAGAAATTTCGTATTGCTGTTTCGTCCTGGTATTGGACTGTTTAACTATGCACATCTATAATCCCACCGGTAGTGAAACCAGGACTGGGATGCTAATTTAGTTTTTTAGATTTTAAGCATTCACAAGACCTAGAACCTCCTGGTTTTGATTTCTAGCAAGGTTATCGATATACACATTTGATCCTCATACTAGGAGAAAATAACTATCCAATTTTTCTTGCTTGTCAATATCTGTCTAAGATCGGTTATTGGTGTGAACTATGAGGTTAACTAGTTTATTCTTTATTTTTCGAGTTGAGTGAGCTAGAAGTTTAAATGTTTTCTGGACGGTATGCTTTATGCATGATGATGTAAGTTAGTCATCATCAATGTCAGAACATGATACGAACATTGATCAGCCCAGTTTGCCACAACTCATATCAACCCAGCGGCTAAGAAAATTAACTTGATAAAAAGAAAAGAAGAGGAATTCGTTTATGTTGCAAAGGAAATCTATGCATCAGATATATAATGCTAAAGGAAAAACATGTTTTCTAGGAAAAAATCAGTTAAGTTTAGAGGAAGATAGTTAATACAACTGTGTCACTGTGGAAAATTTTACCTCCATTCCACTCAACATTTCTATCTGTCGATTACTACTATTTGATAGTCCTCAAATGACTAGCCAGTTTCAGTCATTAGCCATTGACTAATGAGATGTCTTGTTCTGCTAGCATTTACCTCTTGTTCAGTTTATTCATGTTTTAATCAGTATTACATTTCATGGTAGGTGCTGGTTAGAGATTCTTCTGTCGATAAAGGTTCACAGCCTGCTAACAAACTTCGGATTTTTATTTAGTACCGCATATCTGACTCAATTGTTAGTTGTATTTTAAAGATAAATTTAAAACTAAATGGAAATAGATGGTTTTTCAAATATTCCTGTTTATTATATAATCTGAATATAACTAATGCTTTTTGGGGTGAAATGCGAGGATCTAGTCACACGTTTAGTTTATCAATTATTTACTTTTTCTAGATTGATGCATGGTGACTGGCTAAATGTGTTTTTATTGAATAGGTGGTTGTTGAATAGATTGACTTGCTTTGTTTATAGTATTCGGACAGAATAGTTTATAGGTAATATCTATTTAAATGTGACGGAATTTTGAGTCTCACGGGAAGGGTTCTTTATATTCAAAAGTTCAAACACCGCCATAATAACATGTTAACTGATACAAAATCTAAATCTTAGACTTATTGTAGTCTCAGTGCTTCCTGCCAATCACTTTCAATCCTTTAAAATATTAAAACACAAAACAATAGAATTCGACTCAGACTAGTATTCATAATGTAATTTGATTAATTGTATACAATCAATGCTAAGCATAGATAAGTATGATATCGGGTACTACTATTCAGTAGTCAATCAGTATAGATCAATATCTTCAGTGATTTTTTAATCCATTTATTTCAATATTTTATAAAATCTCAAGGGTTATTTTAATAATTTAACGACAAATTTGCACAGCGTTAGATAACAAATTCTACCGAACTTGGATTCGACCAACACTTTGACTAATGAACATGTAAACCGCTAAAACTTACAGCACTTAAGTTGTTCCGTTTTATTTCATACAGAAAACGTTTGTTTAATTTTCATTATTTTTTTGGTTTTAAAGGAGGCGAGATGTTACCGGTAAACAATTAAATTCACATCATGGTGACGATGAACGCATCACCTGTCAACAAGAAACAAATAATGGTGATAATAATATAGAATCTTCAAGTACTTCCCCGTCCTCAAAGCGTCCACGTATTGATGATACTAACGATAATAATTATGATAATGTGAAAGCGTTATCATCTGAAGAGAAATCTGCCGATCTGAATTCAGTATGGTGCTGTACATCAAGTCAATCGGGACAGAATAGCAGTAAAATATTCTCAACAACTACTACAGCTACTAGTGGTGGTGGTACCGTCAAAACACAAGATGATGAATTTGATGAATATTTTGCCGATATGTTAATGTAACTTACTGATTATATTGCTATTACCATTTTTTGCTCCCACTTTCCATCTTTCTCTCTTACACACATATATACATACACAAATACTTATCATCCTGTACATATACTATGTATAATTTTCTTTCATGCTTTATGCTACTGTTTCATATAGATTCGGTCTAAACTATGCTTACTGGTAATTACGTTAGCCTTAGTGAAATTTTAATTGACTGTATATTGTGTCTGTAATAACATTTTGTTTTACTTATGTGCTGTCCAGTATATTAACATTCAAAAGACCTTTGACTTGTCTGATTATGATATATTAAAAGTGATTGTTGCATTTTTCCTTTGTAAATTTAGTACAAATTATTCCTATTTATCCTTTTATTTGAAGTTGTTTGTACGTCTGTGTCTGCCCTCTTGTTTGGTGTATCGGTTATACGCAATTGAAATATAACAAATAATCATTTGGTTTAGTGTTTTAGCGTTTAATAATTTGAAGACGAAATACTTAATTATTCATTTGCATTAGTTGACATTTTCACGTTGATGTTATCGTGTGCGAATTAATCACCCGTTTTCGGCGTATTTGCATCCTGTGCGGATTGTCTCGGTATTACCTTTAATTCACAATCATTTTAACTTGAGTTATATGCTAGCTATCAGTAGAAACTAGGACAAATGTTTCGTCCTGTTCGGGACTTGTCAGTTGTATGCACTTGCACTCATGTTAATTTTTCGAACATTAACTCGAACCAGAGTCCTGAGTTTCACTGGTAACCATCATCCAACTCTGCTCAAAACAGTTTCGAAGCAACACGCACAGGATGCACGTATTTCAAAGAAAAACAACTACTTTCCAGTCCATACTATCAAACAAAGAATACAAATGAGTCAAAATTCATCTCCTTTGCACAAACCAGTGGCTACCTGGACTGAGTAGCCAAGTGAGTAAGGATTTAGACGTTTGAAGCAAAAGCTACTGTGGGCGAGCATCGGTGCAAACATCAACATGAACACACACCTAGGTAACGTATTATAAATAGGACGAAACACGTCCTGAATTTCACTATCCTACTCTGCTTGAACTACTACTTATTAATGTGGATTAACAAGTAAACGTTAGTTAATCCGTGTTTTCATTCTTCGTCGAGTTATTTTGACATTAAATTAAAATATTGCCACTAAGTCAAATATCAGAAAATTCCACTACACCGTGTTTGGTGCCTGGAGTTTAAAGTTGGTAAATAATAATATTGTGAACAGGCACCTTGTTGCGTTATCATTTCCATCTTGAAGTTTGTGTTTGACAAATAACACTGTGTACAATTGTTAATTAAATAAGTTATAGCTGATCACTGTACACTACAAATGATTTATTCTTATCTTTTTTAATAAGTATATCGTATAAAGTTGTAAGTAAGGAAACAAACAAGTGGTTTACTATACACGGAGTCCATCTGTAAATTAACTAAGTTAAATAAACTTACTAGATAATCACATATAATTCCAAAGTGTTTGTATCAAAATTAACAAATATCTAATGATCACTGAATGTCCGGAACTATTATACAACGATCGGAAGAGATACTAAGTCATTTGCCAATTAAGAACACATGCAAGGTGAAAGCGATATGTTTAATTAATAACGAAAAATAGAGTATAATGCCCAGCAGGAAGGTATATATTTTCTTATGGCTATGAAGGTAAAGGAGATGCGTAGGTTTTTTAGTATTCACTGACATATCTTCACACCAGTGCTCAGGCATAATGTATTAATCACGGGACGAATAATGCTGTTAGATGTAAGAACCTAGATAAAGGTGGTAAATCAGTTGTGATTTTTCATTGACTGGATAGGAACGTATATTACTTATACTCAATTAAGAACTATTTGATTAGCATAAAAGTAAACTAGGAATAATTTGGGAGGCACTAGACCTCCAGACATGAAAACAACACACGTCACTAACTCAATCTGAGTTACATTAACTGTGAAATTAATTCGGTAAACTTAGTCTATACCAGCAGGGTGCAAGTAACAGTTCAAAATTGGTCGAGAATGAGCAGATATTTTTATTTTTTGTCTTCTGCGAAATCTAAAGTTTAAATATGTATTGGTATTACCATATTCAGTTTTTGATAGACTTCAAGTATGTGGAACAATTGTGAGAAATAGCATTGGACAACTGTTGTTACATTGCAAACTGATTGAAGTTAGAAATGTGATACCAGTCTATTGGTTCTAGTGATTAGGCGTCCTTAGTATGATCTGAATGCCTTGATTTCGCACTCCTGAGAAGTGCGATAGTAGGACGAATAAACTATCCGGTGTATTTTGGTTTTTAGTTGTATCCCAAATAGGATCAATATAATAAATAATACCTACAAATTTTTGACTCCGTTCAATCTTCCAGTTGTTAATTTCCGTCCATTATAATGATGTGTGTTATAACTTGAACTAATACACATTTGCAGTAGATCCTAAGCTGTCTATGACACTTAATATCTAAAACAGACAATACAGTCATCCCATTATTACACTATATATTGATTTTTAATATATTTATTGAAACTTATCCGTCAGCATCGTGAAGTGATGGCTTAATTGTAGAGGCATTCAACTAATAATCGTTAAGTCCCAGGTTCAAATTACTTTAGATTAATTACTGAATTATTAACACTAGCACTCTTACTTAGAGTATGCTTTGAAATCCAGAATACAGAAATCAATACTTGATAAATAAATTGATTCATCAATATAAGAACACAAATAGATAAATAAGAAGAAAAAAAAGTACTTCTATTAAAATGTATTTGGATTTACTATCTAAATAACGAAAAAAAAAGAAGAAAATTTATGACATAATATTGTTTCTCTTCATTTTTTCGGTCTATAAGTATATGATTTTAAATAAGATGGAACAGATTCATATAATGCCCGTTCAGTTCGTCGTGATATTCGACTCTTTTCATGTACATTATTACTATTATTGTTTGTTGTAAAACTTTCATTAGACGATGATGATGATGGTGGTGTTGTTGTTGTTGATCTCTTCGTTGATGTAATCATATGTGCAGCTAAAGTATTTGGTGGTAAATTAGTTAAACGTGGATATGGTGTACCATAATGTAAAGTTAATTCAATTCTTGCTTCAGCTTCTCTAATATGATTCTATTTGAATGAGTAATAAAACATCATAAGTAATAAGCGAAGTATATCATGGTATAAATATGGATTAGTTCAAGTTTTTACACCATATCAGTATAGTCAGATGTCATTGTCAAGTGAAATGAATGTTAGAGTAGTGGAACTAGTAAAACAGTATCAGTGATAGTAGAAAAAAATTAGGCATAGAGAATGTGATTTGAAAGGAAAAAAATTTGAATAATACATAGTATAGAATAGTTTTAAAACTCAAGATCTAAAAGGATACAAACAGTGTATACATCTAAACTAATGTAACCGTTTTTAAACCCAACATCTCTGTCAGTCATGATAATTACGTAAGCCTCAATCAAATAGTCTATATTTGCCAATAGATCTTCAACCAAAAACAATGACACCAAATACATACATACACACAATAACAGTGGGTTGTGAAGTGATAGAGAATGCGTATAATAAAAAGAATAAGAATGAATAGAAATTAGTGTATGAAAGTGAAATAATAATAATGAGAGAAACAGTTCAGTTAGCACAAATACAACTAGAAAGAATTATTTCAGTTAAAGAAGTTACGTTCAATTTTCATGAAGCAATTAATAGGAATTTATAGCAGGATCGCCACTGGCTTCTATTCTGTGCCATTTCTGATAACGTCTCAAGCCACTGCCTTGAGTCTACAGGGACCAATAGGAGCCAGTCATGTAGAGCTTTATTGCATGGTTGTGTGATTTGCGTATCATTGCACAGTAAGGCCATATCACCCAAATACTCAAAGTTGAAAAGTACTTTTCCAGGCAACAGATCCATACCACCACTACCCGCATCCATCAGGACTGTTTCCAGAGCGTCATCGGTGACAAAGTTGAAGAAGAATGGTGAGATGGAGAAACCCTACCTAATCCCACTGCTTGAATGGAACAATGGAAAAAGGGTTGTATGCCCTCACTATGCCTGAGGTGTTTGTATATTGGGTTTTAAGATGTTAGAAAACTTCTCAGACACACCCTTCTTCAATAGACAATCCCAGAGAACAGTCCTGTCCGACGAATTGAAGATGGCCCGAATGTCAAGAAATACTATGATTGTTGGCCTGTGATAAGTATGACGGTGAAATTATGATCAGTACATCCTTGACCAGAAAGAAGACCATCTTGCGAGTCAATCTTTCTCGGGATTTTAACAATCTACGAAGTTTGACGGAAGCCAATAGTTTGGACGCTATCAGAAGTAGACTGATCCCCCGATAGTTGTTACAGAAACGACGTGAACCATTTTTAAAGATAGGGACAACTATCGACTCAGTTTAGGATATTGGAACACCCTCTAAATACCAAAATTTTGTAAACAACTCAGTGTTTTGTAAATTAAGATTTGGGTAATTTGATTAGTGAATTCTCGACAGGTTACATGAAACAAAAAAGTGCTGATCGATAGATGATATCAAAATAATACTATGCGGTTACTTGGTGGTGGTCCGAATTATTGAAAAACGTCCCCCCTTACTGTTATTCAAATGATTACAAATCAACAAAACAGCTGTTCACTAGAAAAAGATTTCCTTCTGATGAAATAGTATTCTTCTATGCAAAGTATTAATAAAAATAAGCATTTGCGTCTGGAGGTAGTCAATTTCCTAGGTCACTCTTTAATTAGTCAAGACCTTGCTTAAACTAATATAATGTTAAAAGTGGGAGTCAAGAAAGATCATATCTCTTACTTCGATTTCTATCTCATCTGTAATATGTGCATTTTGACGAAATAAATTTCTTGCTTCCTCTTTCATATAATCAGCTTGACGTGATGAATCTTCGGCTGAACCAGAGTTTGCTTGCCATATTCGAGCAATTCTAAATATTCGCCGATACAATGATAGGACACGAGGACGAGTTTTTACTGAATTCACAACATTGGCAGCCTAAAATTTACGATACGAAGCAACAATATATATATATATATATATATATATATATATATATATATATATATATATATATATATATATATATATATATATATATATATATAAAGCAGATCCATCAAAGCAATTAAATAACTTCTGTTTATGAAGCCCAATATTATAGACATATATAGGAATCAATTGGAATGAATTAACCAGTAGATTTGTGATAACTGATAAAACAAAAAAAATGTTCACGGTTTGATGCCATATGGTAAGTGTTGGTGTACAAAGTAAGTAACATGATTCCCATTCAACACAACATATGTTATCATTACTTGTTGAGGTATTCATTTGCAATGATAGTTTTCAACATAAACCCGATATTAGCTAGAAAAGCTTTGAGAGCTAGATAACACTGAATTTCTGTCAACAATGTTAACGCTTTAAAATTACTGAGCCAACACATTTAAAACTATTCACAAAGAGCCTGTATTTGGCTGGTCTTAGAACAACTGTTCAATGAGCAATGTGGTCAAGCTTTTAAATCTTAAACATCACTCACAATATAGTTTCCTTTTCAGGTAACTCATAAAGGAGTGTGAGGTACCTCTCACAGCTCTCGAGTGAGGACAACTCTTCTAATTCAATGAATCAGAGTTAGGTGTCTTATGGTAACTTCGTACTGTATATAGAACGATAACTTTTAACCATTCTCGTTAGTGATTTTGGACCATCCAGCACATTGAGATGTCAATCTTAAATCCAGACATCAGAGTGGATACAATATTATTATTATGCCATAATATACTCACTGGCGACTGAAGTATGAGTGGATTTTACTAAGAGGCTGTGACTTGTAAAGTCAATCAAGTAGGTAATGAAACAACTCAGAAATAGGATTCATTAAGTATTACGTTATATAACAAGGCCTGTTTTGAGCTGAATCTTTCATTGATTCGCTTGTGTGGACTATTAAGTAGTTTCCAATCGGAACGAAAAAGAAGGATAATGACAGTACTTAGCTTTTGTCAACTGGTAGTCGATGGTAAATAAAACCATCTCTTTGATCAAATGTACTAAAATATTATAGTGTACTAAACAATACGTCCTTTTAAGTGTTTCAGCAGCGGTGCTTTTCAGCGAAAAATAAATCCAAGCAAGATGACGTTGTACTGTATATAACTAGATACCGTTGGATCAGTATGATTATTTATTACTGATAACCCAGGTAAATAAAATATATGTACACGAGTCTAAACTGATTATCAAACACTACAAGAAAGTAAACTCTAACGTGATATTATCTCACGAGCTAAACTTTCGAGTTTCAAGCGGGTGATGTACGTGTTTTGATCTATGTATTGCCATTTGTACAGAAGATATAACAGGAAAAGTCGGACTCGATGAGTTTCAAATGACTTACACATGTTATAAACGATCGTACCCATCTTGTCAAAATACTCTTTATTGATGTATAGTGCAAAACAGGCGTTATTTTATTCAAATTGTTTTGTATTTCTAGTTAGTAATCTCCCTGAGAGTATATTCCCAGAGCTAATTACAAATTACACGGCTGAAAGAGATCATTTTCATGATTTGAAATCAATATAATTCAAGTGGAAGACAGATATATTAAGCGCAATGGGAAGATTTAATGTGACAAAGTTAAATTCAGAATTTAAATGAAGTAATTCGAAGAAATTTTGTTGTTATTCATTTAAAAATCACGTTTTTCATGTAACTATCTGAGGATCATGTGTTATTAATACATGTTATTGTTAGTGTCGTATTAAGAGTGATGGCTTAAAGTAAGATACACAAATATAGCATTGATGAAACGCTTCGGTATACTACTGAGTCACAACTTAAAATCCTGTACGTATGTACATCGTTTCATGTTGCCATACCTCATAACCGCTGAGAGATGTTATCAGGCCAAATTACAGAATAGCAGAGGTGACAACGCCCCTGAATGCCCTGGTACGGCCGAGAGTGAAGAGAGTCACCACCCCATCACGAAATGCTCTCATATGGACACCTGCATACAACTCACTGACTTCTTGAGACATTACTGTTGTTTAAGAAATTGAAAAGACGAAAAGCGAATGTCTGGTGCTTTAATCGGCTTGGTGGATATGAGGGATCCACCTAGGGGAGTTAAAAAACCCTGATTCCAAACTAATGGTGCAAATGAGCTTCAGAATAATGAGGGAACAAAAGGTGTATGAATCTATTGTTGGTCACCGGCTACCATGGGATTGCATCTCCTAACGTTGCTCCACTGCCTTATGGATTAGACCTCTAGGCCAAAGCCTCGGTGTGTGACCGCCTAAGAAAACCACTTGCTTCAGTTTGTGCACTCGGGCAGTGTCCTAGCCCTCAGATAAATCGAATGATTTATATAGCGCATATCTGTCTGGTGCCTTCTTATACCAATGTTTATGTGTTTAAGTAAATAAAGAGGTAATAACAGCATCATTGGTAACAGGAAGGTTTAGATATTAAAGATACAATTCAGTAAGAAAATAGAAATTAGTGGAATTAAAACAAAAAAAGTTATGAGAATTTCAGGATATGTGATGTGTAAAACCAGGCTAGAAACTCCAGTCAAAATATTAACTGAGAACATTAATAATGAATTATTATAATTAGTTTTCATGTTAATAGAACAATTTAATATCACTGTCAGAAATCTTTATCGAAATACTGAGTTACTATTAGATATAAAGGTAAGAACACAGTAGCAACAGTCAACTGATTAGTATTTGTATTTTGGAGAACGAAGTTATCATAGATTTGACGATACCTGATTAACTTACATTGATTCTAATAAAAGTTTTTCATAAACTTCTATATTGAACCTTTCCATATAAATAGTAAGATTTATTAATGCGCTTAATTACTTATCCATGTGTTAGCGTTTTTTAACGAGTTCGATTTCTACGGGATGGGGTCACTAACCCCATGCCCAACCCTCATTTATCCGGTCTTGGGACGGGCAGTAGCCCCAGAGGGGTTCTAGGCGGAGTTTCTTTCCATGTGTGCTAAATTCTATTCTCACCAGAACTGTTAGTTTTATTACTAACCTATAAAACTTCGTGTATACAGTAGTATCATGTCTGTGAAATCAAATTAGTAAGTATGGTCTAATCAATATTTGTCACTTATGGTAAACCAAACGGAAATCAATTTGTCATGACTGAATCTGTATTTTAACAAAGACTTTTGTACAAGAAACTAAATCGTAAAAATTAATCCGTTTAAGCACTAAAGTTAAGAACATTGGTCTACTTAAATATATAACACCTTTTGAATAATGTGAAAATCAATTACTTTATTATCTAACAAAAACATTGTGATAAGAAACATGCTTTAATTTAGGACAAAATTTTATCATGTGTACAAGTTCATATTGAATGTAATAGTGCAACACAAATATAATTGAAATGTACAAGTGATCTGAATATGTTTAAACATAATACATAAGCTTTAATTCAAGTAAAGATGGATAAGGGCTAATAATGAGATTCTCGAAGGGTGTCTCGTACTACCTCAGATTTATCAGTTAAATAGATCGCTTTTAGTGTCAAAATTCACATCCGGATTTGAACTGTGTATCTTTCTCTTAAAATCCCGAAAGCGTTATCTGCTGAGCTTACTGAGCTCTGATAAACAATGGCTCGTGTTTAAATCGTCAGAGTAATCATAATTCAGTTCTTAAAATCAGTAACATGAAAATTCAAACACATACAGATAAATAATAGAAGTTTTAATTGTCGGTGAACTAGTGTAAACTGAGGGGAAGTAAGTAATTAAAAACTAGTCATATCTAGAGGAGACAATGAAAAAGATGGGATATGTGCAAGTACTTACACACAGTTGACTTTGAACTATACAACAATAATAGTAAAACTAACTAGCTATATAAACCAAAGAAGTAAAGGGATGGTGAGGTTTAAGCGCAAAGAAACAGATCCACAAAATAAGACTTAGGAAGTATCATTTAGAATATTTAAAAAGTTTCACTATTCTAACAAAATTTATAAATCATTAACATTTTATAAAGAAAATAGCAATATGACTGACACAATGAAAGGATTTTTATTATTACAAAGTATAATGAAAATAGTTTTATTCGAAGATTTACATGAAACAATTCTAATTACGTAACCAGTAAGAATCAGGAATCATTGAAGAGACTTTGTGCTTCATTATCGATCTACTCAGCAGTGATAATATACGACCCAGTTGGGAGTCAAACCTACAACTGTTATATCCCGATAAGAATAATGAATGGTAACTTATGGGATCCATTTATGGACCAATACTATCCGTATATTTTTATCGTATAATTGTTAAGTAACCAAACGAATCACATTAGTGTTCCTCTTAGCATAAGCTACATTTTGACCTATGAACTATTATTATACGATTTATCATTCTCGAATTATGCCCAATCAATTACTATCTTCCACATTCACAGCCACGTTTGGCAAAGTCATGTACAAATGTTGTTTCCTATGTTATGGTACGGTGTAGTCTGTCTGGTTGGTATATAACCCCAGTAGGCTTGAAATAAATTATTCATATCGCAGAGGCTGAGATTGGTGTTCTGGACTTAACTGGCTGGGCTAGGCAGGAAGTAGGACCGATAAGTACTCTAGACTGATCGCACGGGATTTATGCGTCATTGGTCCGATCGATAATTCGCTGCTCTCTAATTGACGGTATCATCACGTTATATATTAACAGGGCACACAGGCCATAAGTTATAACAACTTTGAGACTTTGGTTAACCACTAAACCACTCAGTAAGCCCATCGAACGGTTTACATCTTATAATTATTTGCAACCACTAATTACCATTAGTAACATTTATCTCACTCCCGACAAGACTGAACTCCACTAGCTATAACTTTTCACCGGAATTCCGAGAATGATCCTTCAAGGTTAGTTACTAATAAGCACATGATGTTTGTTATGATTAGTAGGCTAAAACGCACAAAATGTAGTTAAGAATCACTTTAACTTTTACAGAAATGAGATCGACCACCAATTATGAACAGATTTATTCACTTAACGATAACCATTTATTATAAGCCTGAAAGAGGTTCAGAGTATTAACAACCTTGTAGAGTAAATCATCTAAGGAACATCGTTGAATATCATCAATACAGGTAAAAGGCAAATAAATTTCGTATCCTTATTAGAATATGACAAGAAATACTAAACAATAAAATAAAATTTATGATGGAAAACATAACTACTACCAATTTCTGTAACTTATGTATGGGTGTTTTTTAACACAATTATTTAATTATCGTTAAGAAAATCTGATTTATCTAAAAATAATTGTAAGAATTGAGTTGGGAAAAACGTGCAAGACATAAAATGACCCTAGACAGAACGAAATCAATCCAGATAGAATAATTTTTGATTATGCTTGATTTCATTTGTTTGGTAGTAATACAATGATCATATTCGTCAGGGTTTTGCAAATGCTTCAATACTCTGAATTTGCATCATAATAAAATGCAAGGTGTAGTAAGTAAATACGAGTTAGTAAATTATTCACAACTAGTTATGATTTATAGAACACATTTTATACATAACCAGTATTATTTGACTACATATTAATAGGCACCAGCTGTAAGTGATATTTAGTAAATAGAATTAAACTAGTAACTTGGATTGATTAAAAGTGTAAGTTTGTAGGTGACTTTGAGTACAGAATAAGTCAAAAGTTAAAGGAATACAACTTAAAAATTAAACCAATCACTAAGCTAAAAACTAATTTGTTAATGTAACTCGTTATTGTTTTTATTTTATTTAAACACATAAGCACAGATACAAGAAGACACTGAATAGACAAGCGTCACATAAGTCATTTGATTTGTGTGAGGCTAGGATACTTCCGGGTGCCTGAACCAAAGCAGGTGGTTTCCTCAGGGTGTCACGCCCCAGGCCTAAAGGTCTGGTCCAAAAGGCAGTGTTGCAACGTCAGTTGATATAGTATTTTGGTAGCCGGTGGCCAACAATTGGTTCACACAACTTTTGTTTCCCCACAGTTCTTGAGCCGATGTGCACCATTGGTGTGAAGTCAGGGTTTCCCAACTCCCCTAGGTGGATCCGCCAAGCCGATTAAAGCGCCGGACATTCGCTTTTTGTCTTCCCAATTTCGTAAACAACGGTAGTGCCGCGAGAAGGCAGTGAGTAGGACTTCCCTGGCAGTGGTTGTATGCAGCTGTCCATGTGAGAGCATTTCAAGAGGGAAAGTCGACTCTCCCCGCTCTCGGCCGTACCTGGGCATTTGGGGACGTTAATGTGACAAACAGTTAGGTTTAATTGTGAGTGTCTAGAAACCGATTTTATTCACAGTAATACTAAAAACTACAATTATTCTATTCACATGTTAGAAAAATATCAATCAGAAGTACACTTCTATCTGGGGATATTCTTTCATCAAATCTAATACATTATAAATATTCAATGAATATGTAAAATAAAATAGAATTATGTTAAACAAGCAATCCGTCTAAATACCGACAACGATTTAATGTCAAAAAAGAAATGAGAATCTCAACATAAGTAGGTAAATTTCTTTATTTTTTTTAAAACGTTTAGCATGATTAGTAAAATAGATTGATTTATTGCAATATATTTACAATTCTGAACAAGTGTAAATTACATTTCTTACTTTTATTTCCCTTTTGTGTGCATAAAACAATGAGTGTTTGAACACACACACACACACGCACAGGCATCAAAAACCAAAGGAAAAAAACAACTATGAATTTGTTTACAATTTGATACCTGAGGAAACAAGAGAACGGAGACAAGGGGGGGGGGAGAGTAACCAAACATTGAAATATAATTATGAAGATAGCAGTAATAGACAGAGGTAGGATAACAATATAAATATATAAGTAATAAATACGAATAAATAAGAAGTCAAATAAAGCTGACTACTTACTCGCAATCAACAAATCATAAATAAATATGTATAAAGGATGATAATAACTTGACAATAATAATAATAATACCCATAATTAATATTCAAGGTGAAACATAAAATTACCTAATGTGTACAGTAAATACATAGAAGTGTATTCAACTAAGAGAAGTTGATATTAAATAAATAAAAATAGAAGGGAACATGCAGTGTAACTAGAATTTAGTGTACCTATCCGACTAGTGTAGATTGCAATATTTAAAAAAAAGAAGATAGAGAATGTGAGCCAAAACAAAAGAACAGAGCGAAACAAGTCATATTACATTTTTTTACCCACAAAAACTAGAAGAATGTTAATTATATTGTTAAATTTATATCGAATCTACTGTTTTCTTTTTTTTTAACATGTAAACATCGGTCAGTTTAGTCTATATGAAATACATACTACTCATAGGTATAAATAAGTATATTTAGTTATCAAAAATTATGTTCTCTTTTTTTTGTTGTTGTGAATCCCCTCTATGAATAAGATTTTCTTTAGATTAAACTTTTGAAATCAACTAAAACTCCTAAATAAATTGGCAAAGAGAAAAAAAGCCAAAGGAAGTGAAGTGAAATCAATTACAATAGCAAACAAAAACAAATATTTATGAGAAAACCCCGAAAAACACACACTTCAATTAGATAAAAGAAACACGGACAAGAACAAAAGGAATGTGGAAACCAAATAAAGCGAACTTATTTATAATGAATTACAAATATAGAAAACCATTTGTATGCACCTAAATGTTTTATAATTTGATTGTGTACAGTGTTTATTATTATCATCATAATTGATAATTGATATATTGAATCTTAAGAGAATTGTGGGGGCAGGGTGGTGAATAAAACAAGAAAATAGAAGCACGTCCACCACCATAACCAAAACACATTATTACATAAGCATTTACAACAGAATTAAATGAAATGGTAATTACTGTGTCTATTCCAACTGTTTGAATTAATTTAATACAGACTGTTGACTAGGTAAATCCGGTTGACTTCCAGCTCCATTACGCCTTAACGATAGAGAGGATACAGGAGGTGGTAAATGATGGTGATGATGACTAGTTGATCCTATAGTACCAGAACTAGAAGAACCGGTACAATCGACACTGATACTTCGTGTACTACGTCGTTCAGCTAAACGATGTGTTACACGTTCTAACATACGAATCCATTCATCTCTTTCAATAAGTGTAGGTGCAGCCATTCTGTATACTGTATGCTGATGACCTGTAGAATTACAACAAAAAACATCAGCATATAAGTATTGGAAAAGTTTTTTAAAGAGATACACCAATAATGTATAATTATGATAAACATGCCTGTATGAGAAAATCAGTTTGGTGTGTTAAAATCACTCGCTATACGAACTAATTATCGTACTCGACTAGTCTCCAAAATCAGGACACGGATGAACAGGAAAAAATTATATTCCAAATAAACAAGGCTGAATGGGAGTAACAATCAAAGTGAGAAAATTGTTAGTAAGTTAATAATTTACACACAATAATATTCTAGAGTATTCTTCAGCTATCTTCTAGCTTTGATTGGGTAAAACTAGGCCAATCAGTGGGTCCTAATGTTATTCTGCACAGAGAATTCATTAATCTAATCTATGGCCTACTGACAGAATCTGATAAAAAAATAAAAGTGTATCATGTTGAACAAACTACTGCTTTCAAAAGATTGAACTTCGTCATCGTCATTATTATTATTGTCATTATCAATTTTTCTCATGTTTTTTACCAATAAATAACGTTCAAGATGTAACGGTCAGTAAGTCAGCAACAACGTAGAACTTCGTATGTACGTGCATCAGTTCAAGTTGTTACACCAAATTAGCACAGAGATAGTTGTCTATTCAAATCCCGTGGTGGTAGAGGTCGTAAGAGTATAAGCAGTAATCGGAAAGATTAGGCTTTGAAAATGTTATCTTACATTCACAGCCACATTTTGCCAAATTTTTTACGGATGTTATTTTCTATTTTATGCTACGTTGTGGTCTGTTTGATCGGTATATAAACTCAGTATGTTTGAAATATAATGACTCATATTGCAAAGGCTGAGATTGGCTTTCTGGACTTAACTGGCTGGGCCAGGAGGAAAGCAGGACCAATCATAACTCTAGGCTGCTCGCACGTGTTTTACGCGTCCTTGGTCCAATCGATAATTCACCGCCCTCTAATCGGCGGTGACTTCATGGATTTCTGCCATGATTTGATCTGGTCACCCCTAGCTTTCTTCCAACCTACTCTTACACCATAAAACATCGCTCGTCGCAGCATTCGGTGGTTAGGCATACGTAACACGTATCCTAGCCATCTCAACTGATTAAATTTACCTAGTACCCGTTTCCTAACACGAAATTTCAGTCTATTATTGTTCGTTGTCTACTGCATAAGGTGTTTCCATTTATATAAGCTAAATAGTATTCAATATATAAATGATTGACAGAATCATTCTCTAAGAGAATGAAACAGATATTACATTATGAAGGGTTATTTTACAAAAACACATTTATATTTTATTACATGTAATAGAAACTAGCCCTCGTCATGAGTTTTTACTTTATGATGCAATCGATATTCAATACTACTAAAGCGAACGATTAACAGTAAGAAATTAATGATTTACTGGAATAAATGGATAGTACCTAACAGTGGAATTTAGAACATGAATCTTGTTGTATTTAAGATTCATTAGCTGAATGTGTCTGGATCTTAGTATCGATGTTCATATTGGGACAAGAACTCAATGACATCTTTTGTTTCCTTAGATCACATAATAATTAACTTGTTCAATATGGTATGTTGTCAATATATATATATATATATATATATATATATATATATATATATATATATATATATATATATATATATATATATTGACTCAATAATCATTCACAGTTGATTAATATTTGACTATAAAGTAAAACATAATGGTGAACATATATTCAATAAAAATTAATTACACTTTTGACTACAATATGTGATTAACTTTTTCCGATTGATTAATTGATTGATTGAATTTAACACTTCAATTAATCGTTATTCATTGAAAAAAATGTTATTTATGATTAAATCACTTAGTGAATGGGAAAAATCTATTGCACATTGAAAAACTACTCTCAAAATCGATCACTGAAATGGGATTTTTTTGTCTTTTTCTTAAAACAATTTTGTTCTTTCTTGTTATGAACCAACCGGTTCAGAGTGTATACAGAACCTGATATAAATGTTAGTTTAAGTTGTCATACCATATTACCAAGATGACGTGAAATTAATGACATGACTAGTGAAGGAAATGAAAGAATAGTAATAGTGGTGACCATAATGAAATAAAACTAAACATTATAAACGTAGTTCGAAAAGACAGTATATATATATATATATAACAAAAATAGTTTTATACTTTTTACTCCACAAATTAATACCCTTTTCTTAAATCATAATGATAATTTCCTCCTGTGCTGACGCGGCGCGGTAACTTGGACCAAAATAGATAGTGTCAGATCTTACGTTGATTATATCTGACTGGCTGGCAATTTGGAATAAGTGGAGTAGAACCTTAATCAAGAAGGTAATGATATTTTAAAATTGAATGTTTACACCACGCTGAATGCCCCCAAATGCCCTGGTACGGCCGAGAGTGGAGAGAGTTCGCTCTCCCTCTCGAAATGCTCTCTCATGGCCACGCGTATATAGCCTCTACCAGGAAAGTCCTACTCACTGCCTTCTCGTGGCGGGGGTGTTGTTTACAAAAATGAGAGGACGAAAAGCGAATGTCCGGCGCTTTAACCGGACCCCAAACCAATGGTGCACATGGGCTGGCTCCAGTATCCTGAAGGAACAAATGGCGTATGAACCAATCGTTGGTCACCGGCTACCATGGGACTGCATCTCCTTACGATGCCCCACTGTCTTGTGGGTCAGACGTTCAGGTCGAAGGCTCGGGGTGTGGCCCCCTAAGAAAACCACCTGCTTCGGTTTGGGCACCCGGGCAGTATCACAGCCCTCACACAAATCAATTTTGATTTGTGTGGCGCATATGTACTTGGTGCCTCCCTGTACCTATACTTATGTGTTAAAATAAATAAATAATAAATACCACGCTGAATAATCGAACCCCTTAATTAAATGACTGAGGGCATTATGAAAATAAGATTGTAATCAACAATCAGTTGAGATTAACTACTAAATCTTAGATTTAAGTTCCATATATGCTTACGAAAGCCTTATAGAATTGGTGGAATTACGTCATTTATTTGGTCTAGTGTTAATTATACAAAGTGACAATACTAAGTGGTATCCTTGCTCCCGATTGTTCCTCCCAACTTAATCCAATTCCAGTTAGTAAGATGTGTTTCAGAATATTTACTTTTACTATTTAAGAAAACTAGAAATAATCAAGAACATTCAGAGAAATATGAGAACACAACCAATAGTCAAAGACATTGGGTGATATGGCTAGGAATAAGGCCCTGTTCAAATATGACATAAGCTAATGGAATTTAAAATTTTAACAAGCTCAGTAGAACACATATATTAGGAAATATATTACTACTACTACATGGTTACCTGTGGCTAATTCTCTTTCAACTTTACACGATTTAATTAATTGATTTCGTGGACAATATAATTCGAAACAATTCTCTCTTGTTTTATCATGTATTAGTCGAATATTGATCCCTTCCAGTGGGATAACACCTTTGGTTTGACGAGAGCGCTAGACCACAAATAAAAAATACGAGATTGAAAGAGAAGTCGGAACTTATAAAAAATTGATAAAAATAAAAATAGAAATTAGAATGTTTATAATGTTCATTTGATGAATATGGCTGAAAATTGAAATTGATTAATTCATTGGATATGGTCAATGTCGCGTTTGTTTAGTACCTTAATGGTGATCGGATTCTATCCATCAATTTGGAATATCGTTACTAGTCTTAGTGATTTGACATTGTGTGCATTATGTTGAGATGTTAGATGTTTGCAGAAAGTCAGTAGGAAACAGTGAACCTAGGTTTCGTGCTAGTTCGCACTCGTTAGTAAGGCGTACTTGAGATCACAAGGGAACTACAAATACATAACACCTAAACGGAGTGAATGCGATGTCCAATCACTGAGACTAATGACACACTAAAATTTTATTGACGGAAAACGATCAACACTTAAAGGGCCAGACAAATACAACATTGGCCACTACTCAATAATTAATTAACGTAACTATTTCAATCCAATACATCACTCGCAACCTGAATAGCTTAGTGATGTCTCAAAATGTGAAACTAAGCGACCCAAATTTGAATCCACAAGGGAATATAAGTTCCCTCAAGATTGCTGACGAGCGTTAATCAAGACGAAACCCCGGTTAAGCGGGAATTTTTACTGAATCTCTTAAACCACCCAATGCGGACGAAAAGACTTTAAACTAGATATCTTAAGAAAATATCTATGATGATTATCAGTAAATTGAAAAACAAAACAAAAAGACAGGTTCAATAAAGAGATCTACGTTTGTTATCGACGGTACTTCTTAACGGTTAGCGGTCAAACTGGTACTTGGGAGGCTTAATAACCAAAAATGGGTTAAAAACGAGTTTGAATGGATCCAATCCTACTACGATGAGGGTACACACATAGTCTATTTCCCCGTAAACGTGTTACATGATAATGGAGCGTTATATATAACACAGGAACAAAAATAAGCAACAATAATACTAAAATGTGTTATTCTTATTTTAAGAAGTGAATCATTTAAAAGCAAAAGTGTTCCAGAAACTAGGTCAAGATGGATAATTATGAAAATGGGTTGCACAAAATGATGAATTTGAAGGTTAAAATACAATAAAAAAAGCATAGAAACTCAGCATTTTGTCACTCGCCTTCACCAGACAACTATATCGTTTACATATTCGGAGCCGACAAGTAAACCTCTTGGTAGATTAGTTCCTGCAAAGTCAGATGACAAGTATTATCTCCAAAATGAAGTGTGCGACAAATTTAAATAAAAATGAAGGAAGTTGGTAACCCTTACGAAAATCGTTTGATTTTGATGAGAGTTGGCCAAAGGTTTTAGAGTTCACTAGTAGTATTCGAGTACAGAAACTTCACAAAGCTGATGTAATCCTTTGGTATGCTTCTCAATAAAGTTGAATAGTACCTTAATGTTAAGAAATACAATTATAGTTGGTATGTACTTCTAAGTTCGAGGACCCAAAGAAAGGTGTATATTCGGTAGGTATAACCATGTCCAGGTCTGAAATTAGCCTACTTTTTCTGGGTTCTTTTTATGAGCCTTAAGTAAACATCTTGTGATTACGTACATTCAATGTGCATGGAAGCATAAAACACAAATATGTACTTATTGGCCGAATTATATGATTACTACTATTATAGTATGTTTGGATTTTCTCAAAACATCTACATCAATTGACGTGGGGTTAGGTCATCTCAGTCTGCCATAAAAACAACAAAAAAGGGGTATTTATCACACACAGTTTCACATGAAACAATGAATAAATGTATTGTACGATATTCGTTTTCACCAGTTACTTAACAGATGACTACAATTTGGGTGGAAAAAAATGATGAACAACAAACTTATCAACTTAGGTGTTGTGGAGATTGTCAAGTTTTTGATTGAGATCATGAACCGATTGATGTTAGACCACCATTGAAAACCTGGAAGCACTGGACGGCCGTTTCATCTTATTGTGGGACTCCCCAGCAGGGCGCATCCACGATCCCGCTCGCGGGACTCGAACCCAGGGCCTTCGGTCCCGCGCGCGAACGCATAACCTACTGGACCACTGAGCCGGCATCCAACGGTGTTAATGTCTAACTTCAACCAATCCACGAAGTTGCGCGACCATCTTACCTTCTCAATGTTTCTAATTGGGAAAATAGGCAACAAGATGTACTATACTTCCACATTGAATGATGGAATTAAGACAGATATAAATTAATGGTAAATATAAGTGTGCAGTCAGTCAGTTAGTCATCATCAAAGTCGAGCATGACACAGATTTATATGTGTATTTCAGTTTTTCATTTATTTGGGGATAGTTGGGAACTAGAGGACAGCTGGAGTGTAATTGAAGTGTTCCTTAAATTTTTCTGCCTATTTTTTTAACCTCCTAAACTAAGAGTGATTACCGGTTGTCTTTTCCTAGATAACTTCACTAACAGTGGCTTTTTCGATAGTTGTTTTCTTGATGAGTTGGAATAGTTGTCTGGTGTTATTAATGGTCGCTGCGTTTCCCATTTTATTTACTTTGGTTGCTCGCGATCATAGTGCGAACTTTTTGTTTGCTTACGTTTGAGTCAGTAAAATGCTACATATATTTTTTTTCGAGCATTCGATACGAATTTATTCTTTTCTTCAGGTTGCAAACTTACTCAATCCACTTATTTCATTAGTCAGATGAGGGATATCAAAAACAGACAATTTTGAGTACGTCTATGTAGCTTGTCAGTTGAATTTTGTTTGCTTGCTTTTTCTTAGACATGTTTTTATTAATAGTTGTTAATTGTTAACCAAACTACTGAACAACATATACTATTTGATAAATGGTTATGGGATAAATGCGAGAAAGTACAATCCAATGCATTTCTCACGTTATATTTGGACCATTGATGAGTGAGTAATGATAAGATTAGACTTACGGTACCAGGTAAATGTAGCAAATAGATCGACAAGATAGTGATAATAGCCAAAAAACAAGGAAGGATTAGGAATTATTACAAAAAATATTATAAACAACCTATATTACTCACGTCAGGAGTAAGATAATATAAAAGACTGTCCTCTGTTAGTACAAACCATCGTCTTTTCCAACTTTTAACCCGACCACCTATAACAAAATAGAAAATACACACATCTGAGTCATAGGATATTTATTTAAACCAACTTGATACGTGAAGATACTTATGTACCGAACCACGTTCTTGATGCTATATAAATCAATGATGGTTAACCAAATAATTTTTATAATGATTATCACCAGTGACTACAACCACTTTCAGTTTTGTTGTTGTGACTCATTGTTTAAAAATGTCTTCAAAACCTACCAAGTTTCCATAACCATCCTTTATGAATTCCATTATTTTGATTGGATCCACATACAGATGAGTCGTCAGAAACTGGACGAAGTGGTTCAGTTTTAATAGCACGATAAATTTTCTGTAAAGAAAAGAAATAAATACTAGAACTAGTTGACATAATACATGTACAATACAGTTTATTCACTGATCAAATACATATTCGTGTTAATAGCTTTGAGGAATACTCGAAGTATGAAAGCTAGCTCATGGATCCAGAAACAGATTCCAAGCCAACGTGTACATTAGCACAGGGTCCTGAGGAAGCGAATGGTGTATGAAGTGATATCGATCACTAGACACTACCGAACGCGCCCTCTTGATGCCTTCTAGATTAGAAGTTTTCATCTAAGACTCGGGGAGCAACTCTCGATGGAAACCACTTGCTTAGGATTGGGCAGTTGTCTGTGAGAGCATTTTGAGATAAAAAGAGCGTGCTCTATTCACCCTCAGCAGTACAAGGGTATTTGAAGGCTATTGAAGTAATTGCCTTAATCAATAAACTAACGATACACATATTCTTAGGAGCGAATATCCAAGCCACAACCGAATGTTGTAATTTCCGATGAATAAAATATACGGTACGAACTAAATATCGTTGAGCAAAATAAATAGAAATTCGACATCACCCATAACGATTCACTGGCATCAGTAAACAGAGAGGAGTAGAATGTAAACACAGTCAATCGAATAAAACAACAAATATGATGATGATCAGATCAAAATGCTTACACGAACAAGATCTTCGGACAAGTTAGTTTCTTCATCAAATTCCATCATGGCACGTACAAATGTTTTTTCTTCTGCTAAACCTAGATTTTGGCTTTTTGCATTTATATTATGTAGTGTAGTATTTAATAAAATAACGGCGTAAGAGAGTACATAAGCCTCATCTGGAAGAAAAAACAGATAGGTGTTACAAATAGCCAATAAATCATTCAATTATAATGTACAGAACTATGGAAAGAAATAAAAAATGAGAACCGACTGATTTCTAATACAAACTATAATTAAATTAGTGTCGCCAAGTTAATAAACTGACCTAAACCACATTTTGTGTCATAATAAGTGATTAACCATCAAACCACGTGCAAACTGCACCACTTTTATTTATTTACTTACAGGACAAATAAACTCTAGTACAATGGACACAAAAAAATGAAGTGATAATATTATGAAGAAATAGAGGTCATTACAACTAATTATTAAATCAACAAGAGTATCTGATAAGAGATACATAGTCCAATTAGAAATACAATCAAGGACTTCTTTTACTTGAGAAATTTCACGACACTTTTATGGTGTAATATAAAACTATAGTAGTATGATTGCTACTGGCTTCTATTCTGTTTGACGTCTTAAGTCACTAATTCGCGTAATCTGTAGGATCCCTACCTAGGAGTCATGGTGAATCGATAGACGCAAGATATTTACGGTTATTTTTTAGCCAACTACTTTGTTTTATAAATTGGTTACCTATGCTTTTTCCACAACCAGTGTCAGCGTTAGCAAATAATGTACAGAATGAAAGCCGCTGAGAAGACATCCTTAAAATATGTTCAAGATGGTGATGCCAATTGAATTATCACCAACTCACTGAAACACATTGCTGAACCACAATATCACGGATATAGTGTTGCCTCTGGATGCAAGTAACACTTCAGAGACGACGATCGAATACAAAGAACATCCTTAATTTTGAGTGGCCAGGTTTCACAACCACAGGGTAGATCTGTTTTCATCGATGTATTGTAAACTCAATCTTTTGCAACCAAACCATTATCACAACGGCGTGATCAGCATAAACAGCTGGGACTTTCATTATACATGGACTGAATTGCTACCAAAACACAACTATCCAGATACACGAATTTCTCGGTCAGTACAGTGACCATGATTATCAGTCAGATGCAACGTAGGACCAGACACATATATACATTGGTCCAAGTTGCCATACCGCATTAGCACAACAAGATGAACACCGGATTCATAAAAGTAGTCACTTCAAAGGTAGTAGTAGTATATAAAAGAAAGATTGTGTATAAGGATATAATACAGGAAGAATTAGTTCGTAGAAAGAAAGACATGAAGCGGTTTTATTCTCTTAGTTTAAAGGAAGACAGAGAGTGCATACACTGAGCCATGTCACTCACAGTCTCCAACCATTGGTTACGATAGTCACGCGGGCCCCAACCAGGTAGTCTGCATCTACCAACATGGCTCACACCAGAAGTTAGTAACTTCAAGCACTGATGCCACGTTTTGGTTTAGCTGCCCCTAACTTTCTTCCAATTATCCCTAACACCGGTTAGCATTGCGCGTCGTGCAGGAAATTGGTGCTGGTCACAAATATGACATCATCTCTCCATGTGGTCTGAACATAAATTAATTATACTGCGGTTGACAAACAAGGGCATGGATGTATCTACAACTGAGTTTTCTTTTGAATTGCCAGTATGAACTCTGGTCATTTCCTGGCTTGAGTCCAGCCTAGTTTAAATCTTGTTAGTCAACAAATTTATCATTCAGGAGGGGGTTATTTACTTAGGTTGGTTGTACTTTCAGCTGCAACTGAATACCGAACTAAGCTGATGATTAATCAAACGAAAAACGTAGATGAGCAATGGGTGCATTTGTATGACTTCATCAAAACAGTGAGTAAATTCGCTTGAGGTCCTGAGTAATTATTCACTTATAATTTCTTGGTTTCAGTAGAGTTCCTACAAGCCCTTGGGGCTTCCTAGCTTGATAACACAAGTAGATCCTCAACCCGGAGTATTCGGTTCTTAAAATATATCGGTGGACACGACGGGTCTATCTAACGCGGTCGAACAACCCTGATTACAAACTTACGGTGTACAGAGCTATATGAGCCACTAGCTACCAATGGGACTACATAGCCTAACGTTGCCCTACTGCCATGTGGGTTATAAGCTCAGAGTGCAGCCCCATAAGGAAACCACCTGCTTCATTTTGGGCGTTTGTGGAGTGTCCCAACCCATATGTGATAATGATTACTAGTGAAACGCCAACGATTATGATCTTTCTACGTTCGAAGATATTACGATATCACCTAAAACCGGTGAACAGAATGAAAGTCAGCAATACTACAACAGGACAAGCTAAACTATTCCACTGAGCCTCAGCTCTGCTAACCAGAGGGAGAAGACCAGATTCAGCCAAGGGAAATGTATATTTGAGCAATCGGAAGCACGAACGAACAAGCACACAACTCATGCGTATATATACAGTACAAAAATGTCCTTCGTAAACATCACCAAATAGCGTACTAAAAGAGGGAACAGACCAATAACAGTTAAGGTCCTTCCAAGTGGGGATTACCATCTTCTAGAGCGTACTTCGATTTGTTGTAGTACTTCCTCCGTAGGGACTGTGGGTAAGTCCAAGGTGTCCAACAGAACTTCGAGCGGGAGACTTCTGCTCTTCGATGGGCGATCTGTGGCTAACCGTTTACGTAGCTGGTTCTGATGTTGAGTCCACCTGTTTCTTTCCACCGCTACTTCATACACGCCTTGGCCTAGCCTTTTGACCGCACATGTCTCAATTCGGGGATCATGGTTTGATCTGTAGTCCCGAATGAACACCAGACGCCTAACCTCGTACGTTGGTAGCTCCTTTCAGTTACGAAATAATGAATATTTTTTAAACAATTCAGTCGAATCCCATCAAAGTTGTCCATCACAATCATAAATGCTTAAAAGTTATATAATGTGCGATTGCATGGAAACGAATCCTCATAACTACGAATAACAACCACAAGAAATGCACTAATCAATGATCCCTGGTAAATATTTGAAAATTCATTTGTCAGCACTCAACTATGAGATGAAACTACTAACCCAAACAATATACACAGGAAGGAAATATCAGTAAACTACGACATGCGACATAGCAAAACCTGCTTTATCCATGAACCAGAATAGTGAAACTAAGTGAACAATTCTACATATGACATTGGAGATTGGTTTTAATCTACCTACAGAATTTGTTTACAAAGCTGATCAGAAGTAACAAATATTGTGCGTCCTAGAGACGCTTGATAACTGTTCCTTAAATTTCGGGGGGAACAAGACGATTTATATAACTTATAATTCGTGCCAGATCATCAGTTCTTAATCCGATAAAACGTATTTATACGGTTGAGGTTAATATGCAATAAAATAACAAGATAGGAACTATATCCAAAGAAAGTGAAATCTGAAAACGACTAAGTTTTATTAAATACCTATAAATGAATGGTAAGTTATTTTATATTATTTAGGGAGATAACATCAAGAGATAGTACAAATGAGTGGCAAACCAAGAGCTTATGCATAAACAAAATCCGAGAAAATATGGATTAGTGGAATAAAAAGCATTTTTACAAAGCACTTTAGAAGCTTAGGATCTACACGAAAAGTGTGAATGCACCAGTGCTATTGTGAACAACTAAGAGCGTTTCTAACCAGTCTCTAACCACTAATTACGCTTATCACGTTGACTCCAACCAGGTAGTTAGCACCTGCTGACAGGGTTCGAGTCAACAAACAATAATTTCGTGGAATAATCTCATGTCTAGTTTCGGACGCACTAGCTTCCTCTCAATCTACTCAAACACCCGTAATCAATGGGATTCAAGGTAGGCGGTGAATGGGCATACATAACACATATGTTGACAGTCTCAGTTGACAGAGATGTACAACCTCAAATTTTACAGATTGAGCGTTATGAAAAATATGGAAATGCTACCATAAGACATAAATAACCCCCGGTAATATACGTGTACAGATTGCTAGTCATACGTAATACAAAATATATGACAGGTTCGATAAAAGCTTTGTAGTACACGCACAAGTCATGTGATATAGAATGTCCTTAAATATTATTACTAGTCACCTGGTTATAATTGTGGTTCTTATACCATAGAATAAGAATCTATAAAATATAATTCTACATAAAATATTTAACTCCCAGAACTTCAACTTGTGGTAGAGTAGCTATTTAGGCCCCAAAAGGCAAATAATAACAAATATAGCATATGCAGCTTATGGCAAACTCTCATCTGGTTTTGCAACCTCAAGCGGTGTCCGTCAAGACTGTCCACTATGTCCATTTCTGTTTAATTTCATAACAGACCTACTGCTGGAAATAACTTTCTCGCCGACCGAATTTCCGTGGATCGATCTTCTAGGAGGTCCAATTATCGACTTAGAATACGCAGGTGACATAGTTCTGTTTGGTGAAGACGCTGATAAAATGCAGAGTCCATTGGTAACACTGAGCAACGATGCCATGGTGTTTGAAATGCGCTTCTTTACCTCTAAATGAAATTGTGTCTTCAGGACTAGCCTGTGTCAACACCTGAATTAGAGATAGGGAGTGGAGTAATCGAACGCGTCGACAACACTTATCTTGGAAGTTTGGTGACCCCAGATGCCCTGGTACAGCCGAGAGTGGGAAGAGTCAGCTCTTACCCTCGAAACGCTTTCATATGGTCACATGCACACAATCACTGCCAGGGAAGTCCTACTGAATGTCTTCTCGCAACATTACCGTTGTTTACGAAATTGAGAGGAATTGGAAAACCCTGATTCTAAACCAATGGTGCATACGGGCTCCAGTATCCTGAAGGAACAAATGGCGTATGAACCTACTGTTGGTCACCGGATAGCATGGGACTGCATTTCCTGACGTTGCTCCACTGCCTAGTGGATCAGACCTTTAGGTCAAAGGCCCAGGGTGTGACCCCTTAAGAAAACCACCTTCTTCGGTCTGGACACCCAGGTAGTATCCCAGCCCTCACACAAATCGAATGATTTATGTGGCGCATATCTACTTGGTGCCACCTTGTACCAACGTTTATGTGTTTAAATAAATAATAATAATAAGTATGATCAACCAAAATGGGTCGGTATCTGACAAAATCTCTGCACTGATCCAAAAAGCTCGTTTGGCTTTCGCCAACTCACGTTACCTATGGTGAATGCAAGATATCCATCTATCAGTAAAAAGATGAGTATACTGCACAGTAGTTTGTACTGTTCTACTTTACGACTGCTAAACGTGGCCATTAAGAGTCGAAGATACTCGTAAGTTAATAGTATTTGACCACAGATGCTTTAGAAATATTGCTCGTAGCTGCTAGGATCACTGGGTAAGTTATGGTGAGGTTAGACATAGAGTATTAGGGAATGATGGTAAATAAATTGATAATGTTGTGAATCTTCATCGACTGAGACGGCTGGGCCACGTGTTGCGTATGCCTGAACACCGATTACCACGACGCGCAATGCTGACTAATGTTGGAGACGGTTATAAGAAAGTTAGGGGCGGCCAAGCCAAAACGCGGCATCAACCATGTTAGTGGATGCAAGCTACTTGTTTGGGGTCCGCGTGACTATCGTAACTAATGGTTGGAGACTCTGGATGACATTTCTTAGGATCGATCACAATGAAGTAGGTGTATACGCTCTTTGTCTTCCCTTAAATCATGAGGTCAAAATTGCTTTATACCTTTGTTTCTATGATCTAATTCTTTCTTCCTGTATCATATACTTTATATGCATTCTTTTATATTTTACTACCAGTGAAGTGACTACTATGAATTCGGTGTTCATCTTGTTGCGCTAATGAGGTGTGGCAACTTGGGCCGATGCATATATATATATATATATATATATATATATATATATATATATATATACCTGGTCCTACATTGTAGCTGACTGACATACGCAATAAAGTAAAACGTCATAAATATATTAACATACGTGGTGAGTTAAAAACTGAAGGATTTTGCTCTACATAGCGTTCAGAGAAACTCGTTAAAATGCGATCGATTTTCTGACTCTCTCCAGGCAGTTGGAAGCTAAGCAAAAATTGTCTGAAAAGAAAAAGCTTTAGTAAAAAAATTGGAACACACTAATAAAACGATGTAGATGGTGGGTAAAATTACAGGGATGGTTACATATCAAGATTTCAACAAACATCATTAATACTATGGTATTTTTAACGAAAATTGTGAAAAAGAAGGCAGTATTTGAATTATTTTTGTATTCTATTAACGTCCAATAACTCGTAAGTTTTTAGTTAAACTGTTCTTCAGACAAATGGGTACCATTTGCAATCGCTAATTTCACCAAACATTATAGAAGATTGTTGTTAAGTCATTTATACAGTGTAATGTAACTGTATTAAGAACAAAAGATTTAGGAGATTAATAAAGAATGAAACTGCGAGAGACTTTATGCGACATTACTTGAGGCTTCTAGTCATGGATTACAACACAGAAGTATACTTATTGGGAGTTAATGCACAGTAAAAGTGCACACTAACAAAAGCCCGAATAAGTTGCATTCATGATTCACAAGTATGGTGGAACATGGGTGAAAATCAAGACCAATATCTAACATAAAAAAGATAAGCAGAATCTCACCCATGACGAACCACAAGAACTTAAATAAGTGACTAGGAACATGTCCAAAACAAAAACTCAAAGTTGACTCACCTAAGAGCCGGTAAAAACTCCTCGTCCTTGAAGTTATGCAACTTGGAGAATGCATCCAAAACTTGCATGTTAAATTCCTTACAACTACAAAAATAAACAAAAAAAGTTGAGCATTAGGTACCAAATACAAAAATTGTGCTGGACATACTGTGAGCTAAATATATGGATGTTCCTAAGTTAGCAGTGACTTCCTCCGTCTAGACCATAGATATTCGACGTGCAGCTATATGACGTGAAGTCACGATAAATTTAAATTGAATGTCAGTGAACACCAAACACATGATATATCAATACCGCTTGTTTGAGCACTTATATCTTATCAATCGAGCTTTGCAAAAAAGCTTAACAGTATATCAGCTAAAAATCCCTTCAAGCATAGTATGAAGAAAACCAGGTTTATACAAAAATTCGAGAGCGGAGCTTACATTTCGCCAATATAGGTGCCAACGGCATGTTTAGACAAATTGTGATTTTGATCAATAAAGAATTTCGCTACGTCGTCCGGAGACCTTCCAATTATATTATTGTCGAAAAGATACTCCAGACCCTGCAAATGCACTTGTAAAAGTAGTAGATCAAACCTGTTTTGGATTCCTATTGAATTCCTTGCAGCCAAACGCAAGCCGTCTAACAGATGGGTCCTCTCTAACAAACCATCATGAAGAATAATTAAAAATACCCATCGACAGAAAACCCAAGGTTTTCAATTTGGCTTGTTATATCATTAAGTTCAAGTTTTAGAGACTACCAAAAGTAAGATTATAACACAGTTACCTCAATATTTTTCATAACCTGAGTCTTTTGCTGTCTAATGTAGTGTAGCCTTTCTTTTTCTTCGACGGTAAGCTCTAAATAAAAGTAATTGTTATTTTATGCTCAGACGAAAAATTTCCACCACGGCAAATAAAATAATTACAACTGCTCACCATCATAGTCCATCCCATACGAGCTTTAAATAAACGCCGTATATTTGCGTGGGCTAAAACAAAATGACAATCTTTTGGTAATATTCAGCAAATTTAGGAGGGTTGAAACTTTCATATTTTGACTATTGACGTTTACAATTATCCTGATTCACCTCAGATAATCTCTAGTTTCTAATACCTAAGAAAGTTATCTAATAGAAGCAGATTTTCTGTAGAGAAAGACCTGGTTCTTACAGTAATCTTTATATCGCCGGGCAGTGAGTTATCTTCTGATGAGGCTCTAGAGGCTTTTTCTAATATCTTTTTTAAAGTCTCTATTTCGCGTACCATTATTGAGTTATTTAGACCATGAACTGGCGCATTCCTTTTAGTCCCTACTTTTTTAGTATACGTGACAATTAAATACTTAAAATCCTATGATACTCCACATTGATTCAGTAACGGACTGGATATTATCGTTAAAACGGCAGTCAAATACATTTTTGCTTTCTGTAACAAATCCTGACTTTCTTATATCTAACGTGCATAGTGTCTTTGGTACACACTACTGGTACTGTGATACACACTATCTAGCTTGAGTATCCGGTTAATGTAAACAGCGCGAGAGCAATCATTGCAACCTAGGTTCCTGTTTGTCACTTCTGTCACTTTCTAAATTTACAAGAGGTAACATGAGACGAAACAACATATGATAATTGTGATAAGACATTTATTTGGAGATACTGTGTTCTGGTGTAAAGGCATAGCCAGATATTAGGTGAATAGTGTGCGAGCTTCTCGAAATGGCTGTAGTTCTAGGAATATGATTCTATTTGTGACAGGTGGTGTATTAGATAGTACTATTTTCCATGATACGTATGTGATAGCACAAAATGGGCGCATATAGTGTAATTACTATGTGGGAATGTTTTATACGTTATTAATTAGATATTTTCTCGTTCTGATATATAGGTTGTTGGAGTACCGCTAATTATGCGAAAAGCTATTTGTTACATACCCAGGTCACTAGTTCAGGTGATGTGTCGATGATTGTAGTTTCTAGAATTGTGTCATACTGCAAACATTGCTTACAACATCCGAATTTGAGTATATTTGGGCCCCGAATTCTTAATGTGATTGCTTCTTCAAGGACTCTCGATTGACATACTCAGATGAAAAAGTAAAAAACCAATACCCCCAATTAAAAATATCCACAATAAGTTTGTGAAAAGCAAGTCATTTATTCCGAAGTCTTGCGGGACAACTATAATTACAATTTGCGCAACACGCTTGCGAGTTTCAGGTTTTCAGAAGATAAAATGCAAAATACAGAACTAAGAGAGGATGAAACTCGAAATTCTTAACAACCCAAGTTCATAGCGCAAATAAAATAAGTATATTGAAATCACTAGAAACAATGATATTCATAACAACATTTTATAAGTTAAACACTTCAAATTTCTCTCATGAAGGATGTTATCTTGGTTATCAGTGGTTCGGACTAACTGGGTAAATTTTGGCTCCGTTATATTATTTTCTGCGTTCGCACCGAAGGTTTTTATAATAATATTGAAGATGCCACAGGTATTTTGAGTCTGAAAACACTTTAACCAGCGAAATTTACTATGAATCATACCCACCAATTGAAATCAAAAGACAGAAGCGAGGAGCTTCAAAGATATATTTCATAGGCTATCAATAAATTGAGGAACGTCTGATCTAATCTGTCTAGCGATTGCAGTAGATCTTGAGCACGTCGTTCCGACACGTGATCTGGTGCGGATGCATGACCGAGCGCCTTCAGCTAGGTGAGTCCATTAAAACTAATGTGGTCAGCATCAAATGTCGAAGACTTACAGAGCTATGTATTTCGGGGATTTATTTGTCGCTACAGATCACTCCCCCACTAGTGGAATAGTGATTAACCTAAAACGTGGCCAGCCGGAAGTTTAAAACCAACGATTTTGTCGTTGGTAAACACTATTCTGATAGCTTGCTATATTTGGTAGCGTCTGGTCTTATTTCCTTACTATAAGGGACCATGTAGTAAGATGGTGGAGAAGATTTGTAGCTCAGGTGGATGATTTTGATGGAGTTTTGTTCTCTGAGCTGGATGGTTTGGTCGTGGAGCTTTCATCGTTCTTCTGAACGATTAAAGGTAAATGAAAATTTTGGTTTATCGTAAGCTTCGTTGTTCTTTTTTCGTCTTCTCCAGCATTCCTGGAAAAGGAAAAAGGATATGTAATTGCGGGTCAAATTACACACGAACTCACGTAAAGACACAAAGCGACAGAAGAAAGGATAACTCATGCACATGCGATAGCGTAAAAATAACGATTTTAACAGAATGGTCTTTTTTGTTGTTTTTTTAGGAACGTTTTTAGTATACATGCATTGGCAAAAAAGGTGTAAGCATATTGAATTTTTTATATGCAATACAAATGAAAATCGAGATGACATAAAATGTCGACTAGTATCTTACTTGCAATAATCGTTCAAATGTTCTGGAAATCTTACCCTTCTTCCAGAACGCGTTGTTTTAAGTTTATTTTCTGAAACTGCCAAAGTATCATCGTGCATGTTGACTGTCGGATGAGGTATTATAAGTGTCGAAGTCGTGTCGATCGATTGTACTGAAGGAAAATTGACGTGAATATGATTGATGTTGATGCTATCGCCGATTCCGTTCTTATCGACTATATGGTACTTGCGTTCGCGTTGAAGAACTTTGAAAGGTCCTTTGCATACTGACTCGAGAGATCGTCGATGTGAGTCTCGACGAACTGAACGCATTGCATTCGTAAGCTTGCTCTTGTAAGAGGTTAGATCCATGTTTATTGAAGAAGATGAGAGATCCACGAATTCTCCTCGAAGTCGAAGTGTTGTTCCATAGATGAGTTGAGACGCAGTGCATCCAATGTCAGCTTTCACTGCATTGCGAATGTCTAGTAAGACGAATGGAAGAGCGTCAGTCAACTGTGAAAACTTTTCAGCTAATAGTGAAGCTTTTGTTTGTCGATACTGCTTTCACTTTAATTTCAGTAAAAGTATTATCCAAGAGTATCGTTTTTTGAAAGTAGTTTATCATCACTACTTTGAGTACATTGATTCTTTTTGTATTTTTTACACTTTTGGTTCTAACAATTTACAATTTATTTCACTTTTTCTGATCATCAGTTTCTCTTGTCTCTGGGAATTGTTTGTGTCTATTTTTTCGAAAACCTGTGGTTGACAACTGGACAGTGCAAAAACAGTAATTGCCAACGTTCACGTTGTCGATAACATGTTGAAAGTGGCATGCAATCCGATGAGTACGGATGATGGTACCACGAAGTTTGCACGAATCTAACTCTTGAGGCTTTCTAACAATTTAATAAAAGTTTCTGCGTGTGGTTGCGTCAGCAGTGCTGTTCAAACGCAAACAGCTTTCTATCCGAAGACATTGCTATTGTGAATGCTCCATAAAAAAGTGTTGGCAAGCGTAATTTAGACACATCAAATGATACTCGCCTGGTCAACACGCGTATTGATGTGAAGCTACCTCAAATAAGCTCAGAGTCGATTGATTTACATGGGCTAATAAAGGAAGGGAGGCCTGTAAAGATATCCATTAGAAGTAAGAGCTAAAGAAAGGGAGTTTCTTCCCCTTCTTCGCACTCCAGACGGTAACCAGCAGGAAACGCCTAAAAAGCTTAATCGCAAGGTCAGGTTTGTTCCTAGCAAGGAATACAAATGGTTCAAATGGTTGTGAACGGAATAGAGAAAGCTTTCGCTTAACAGGCTTCCGTGTCTAGTAGCAGGGGATCACCAATACCTCCAGGAAGGAACCTAGGTAAAACAACAACCTGGCTATCCAAGCCATCGACAGTCATTCAAGATCCCACAATGCATGTAACGCGACTGTAATTGCTACTCCAATAAAAGTTTATAAATGGGTACAGATAAAGCATTTGAAACGACCTGGTGTTACAAAACAAAAGCGGTAACTGAGAAGCTGAAGGATGGTCATAGTGACTGGCCAGTTTTCGTTCATAGAGTCGGATGTAATCGCAGTCACAAAATCTTGACTGACGTAGTCTATGGACGGTGGGGAACTTAATTGTAAATGTTGCACATTGGTGAGAGACGACAGAATCCAAACGTGTAAAGGTGGAGAATTAGCTCTATTCTTTAAGAATATCATCCCATTAGAAATTATCGGTAGTGCATCTTATAAAACTAGAACGTGTGAATTGGTTAGTTAACGCTTGAAATTCAAAGGGAAAGCACTGCTGATTGGCTCGGTCCACCTCAATCCAAGCTGTGAAGTAAATGAGGTCTTGCCGTGTGGTCTCAACATTCGGTCCCAAACTAGTCGGTATTCAATCGTAGGGGACCTCAACGCACCTATGCCAGACTGAAAAATCTGGAAACTGAATTGTCAGGAAATCCGTTCGAACAGAAACCAGTTGATGCGGTTATTACATGTGCCCTAGTGCAACATGTCGGCGAAGTAAGTATGTACGCCCCAGACTCCGAATCATCCTCAATCGATCACATATTGACCCGTTATGAGTATAACGAGACAAGCCTCTATTATATGACGCCCCTAGGTAAAAGTGATCATTCAGCTCTAATCTTCGGTTCACATATAGTTGTTTAAAATGAGCATTTGTCAGCCCAAACAAGAACTGAATCCTGTACAGCAAATATGCAGAGATTGTACACTCAGAATCCTCAGTAGATTGATCAATTGAGCAAGAGTCCCCTGTTGTACTTAAAGGCCACTGCACCGCACGTCACTTATACTACACCAAGAGGTCCTAGAAACCACCACGGTGATTCAATAAGGAGGTTCGCACTGTTCGCCGTATGAGAAGAATGTGTTCGAGGTTTACTTTACTGAGTTCTGGCGAGACAAAATCTCAATATTGGGAAGCTCGAAACACTTGTGCCTCGACTCTCCACAGGTCTAGAATGTTGTATGAAGGAAAACGTTAGAAAGTCTATGGAATACCCTAAACAATTATACTCGTACATGAAGCAAAGGACTAA